TCATGGAGACCATCTCTTCTAGGTGAATGAATGAATTCATTAATGTTTACCACATTTCTAATGAAAACCAGGCACATACATAGCAGAAGATGGACCCTCTGCTGCCTTAGCTTTCATAGGAGCAAAACACACAATCTCAGGACAGAAAAGCCCAGGCCGGGAACAAAAGGAGGGGGCGTGGTCTTGAGTTCAGAGGACCTGGTGGCCTCCTGTTTAAGAACATTTTTTTTTAAAAGAGACAAACCTCTGGTTACATGCAGATAGCATGATTGTTTACACATAAAACATGAGATGATCTACCAACAAACTTTTAGAACTACTAAGAATGTTCAACAAGGTTGCTCAAAAGAAGATCAATATGCAAAAACCATCAACATTCCTTTATAGCAACAGTAATCAATTAGATTAGAGAATGCCATAGATAAAAAAAGATCCCATTCCCCATAGCAACAAAAACTATAAGGCCCCCAGAAGTAAATCTAATAAAAAAAACATGCAAAATCTTTATGGAAGAAGAAGAAAAAAAGAGATCAGAATAAATAGACTATATTTATAAATGGGAAGAGGTAATTTCAATCAAAATCCCAATAGAGCTTTTCACATAGGAGGAAAAAAGGGCCAAGAATAATAGAGGCAATATTTGAAGAAAGGAAGGGAAGGAGGAGGAGGAGGAGAGGGCTTGTCACATATGATACACCCCTGATTACAACAGTAATTTGGCACAGAAATAGACAAAATAGCCAATGAAAGAGTAGAGAGACTCCAGCACAGACGCGTAAGAATCAGCAACTTGAGTATAACAAAGGCAGCATTTCAAACAACTGGGAGAGGCCTGACTCTAGTTTATTATATGGCAAAACAAAAAACAAGATCTCTAACTTAACCTATCAACAAAATAAATTCCAGGGCCGGCCCGTGGCTCACTCAGGCGTGTGGTGCTGATAACACCAAGGCCGTGGGTTCGGATCCCATATAGGGATGGCCGGTTCGCTCACTGGGGGAGCATGGTGCTGATAACACCAAGGCCGTGGGTTCGGATCCCATATAGGGATGGCCGGTTCGCTCACTGGGGGAGCATGGTGCTGATAACACCAAGGCCGTGGGTTCGGATCCCATATAGGGATGGCCGGTTCGCTCACTGGGGGAGCATGGTGCTGATAACACCAAGGCCGTGGGTTCGGATCCCATATAGGGATGGCCGGTTCGCTCACTGGGGGAGCATGGTGCTGATAACACCAAGGCCGTGGGTTCGGATCCCATATAGGGATGGCCGGTTCGCTCACTGGGGGAGCATGGTGCTGATAACACCAAGGCCGTGGGTTCGGATCCCATATAGGGATGGCCGGTTGGCTCACTTGGGAGAGCGTGGTGCTGACAACACCAAGTCAAGGGTTAAGATCCCCTTACCGGTCATCTTTAAAAAAACAAACAAACAAACAAAAAAACAAAAATAAATTCAAGATGGGTTAACCTAAACAAGAGAGAGCAAAACCTTAAAACTGTTGAAAGACAATGTAGAAGAAATTATGTTAATAAAGAAAGATATTTGAAAATAAACTGTAAGAGGATAAGATGGATACATTTGACAATATTAAGTTTAAAATTTTCTGAATGACAAAACGTCACAAACACATTAAAAAGACAAGCCATAGAGTGGGAGGAGATAGGTGTTATGTCTATAACTGACAAATGATTAGCATACAGAATATATAAATAATATCTACAGGTTAAAGAAAAAAATAATAATAACTCGGTAGAAAAAAACAGGAAAAAGTGATGAGGGGCGAGTTACAGATGAGGAAACAGAGGTGGTCAATTACACAGAGATGCTTGACATCACTAGCAATTAGGATATGCAGATTAAATAAGTAAAATAAATTACATATAATCGCACATTCATAAATTTGAAATAAAACTTGCAAGTCTAAGGGTTGATGACACTGTGGGGAAATTAGAACTCCTATATGCTGCTAGTGGTTAAATTGGTACAACCACTTTTGAGAATAATTTAGCAAAGCCTAGTGAAGTTAAAGATACGCACACCCTAGGATGACATATATTCCACATGGGCATGGGAGACACAGACAAAGATGGTCATTGCAGTATTGTTTACAACAAAAAATTGGCCATGTCCCTCAACAGAATGGCTAACTGAACCATGGGGTGCTATTGATGGAATACAGAGACTCGAAGAAAGTCAAGAGACCTAGCCCCAGTTTTTCTACTGCTTCTAACTGATGTCGAGACTTTATAAGATTCACTTTTCCTACTGTGTACAATGCTGCCCCCAAGATATTCTTGGGTTTCAGCTCTGTGTGCAAAGTCTGCCTGTTCAGAGAGACTGATCCCACTAGCTATATAACTGGCATCCCCACCCCCGATATGGCTTTGTCAAGAAGCAGAGTAGTTTAAAGGATAAGAGTGTACACTGGGTTCAAATTCTAGCTTTACTAAGCACTATTTTGTATGACGTTACTTAGACAAGTTCTATAATCTTCCTGTGACTCAGTTTCCTCCTCTGTAATAAGGAGATAATAACAGTTTACACCTCAGAGGGTTGTTGTAAAGACTTAATGAGTTAATAGGACAAAGACCTAGAACAGTGCCTGATGTAAAGGAAGTGCTGGTTTATAGTGAATTGCACGGCAGTGAGAATGAATGAACTAGACTGGAGTGACGGGGCTAAGTCTCAAAAACAGGCTGCTGAGGGGTAGGACTCCCACACACGTCTCACTCTTTCCTGAACTTCTGCCATAATTACAAGCAGCACACATCTAGTACTTGATTACAGCCACAGTTAGGTGTCCTTTTCACTGGTTTTAGTTCCCCTGCCCTGCCATCCATGCCCATCACAGCCTGGCCAAGTAGGTTTTCGGCAGTATTTATCGAATTTGGATGAATTCTGAAAAGTCTTTAGATGCCAAAGGATGGGGACACCATTGAGTCGCTCAGATGGCGTAGTTTAAGAAGTTGATATAAAGACAGGAGGAGGGTGGGCGTGATGAAGCAGGTGAGCAATGCAGGCACCTGGAAAGGGAGAGAGAATCCCCAGGCCAGGTAACTTCAGGGCAGGAATTCTGTGACTCCAGGCCAGGGACTGGGGGCTTGAACCCAAGCCCCTTTCCGAAGGCTTGTCCTAGAGCCCATTGGGTGATGGAGGCTACATTGACAGAGGGTTCTGTGCATAAACAAGATCTGGAAGGATCACCGCTTAGCACTGGCTACAGGAGGGAGAGTGGGATTAGGGACAGCAGGGTGAGTGCAGGATTTCTTTCTATGCTATAAACTTTTACTTTATATACTTTCATGCTGTTTGAATTTTGCACAGCAAGAAAGAATTTGTTTATTACTTTTGAAATATTAAAAAGAAAAACTTTTCTTGCACCTAAGAGGTACTCAGCAAGTGGACATTACTCTTATTCTTTAAAACAAAGCCTTTGCAGCCAGCATAGAGATGCCCAGGCAGGAATGCACCCCGCTGGCGCTGGGATGAGGCTGCTGTCCACAGCCACTTCTTCCTCACCCCGTGCAGCTGGCCCTCCCTTCAAAGTGAATCCTGAATCCAATCTCTTCTCACCGTGCTCACCACCCAGTCACCTGCCACACTCATTCCTCACCCAGTTTCTGCCTTGCTCTGTCCAACCCACTCTGCCCAGCAGCCAGGGATCTTTAAACACTCAAATCAGAGTCCGGGCACTTGCCATACAACAAGGAGTTCACTCATGTTAGCTCAGTAAGTCTTTTAACAACCCTGCGAATTAGGCACTGTTAGGATCTCCCTTTTACAGATGAAGAAACTGAGGCACGGCATGTTCAATAATGTGTCCCCAGGTCACATGGTGCAACGGCAGAGCTGGGGTCTGATCTGTGGAGCGCGTGGTCTCTGCCTCCTCCCCACCTCTCCTCCATTACTGCATGCCTCGGGATAAAATCAGAGCTGGCCACCATGGCACAGGGCCCCACATGCCCTGGGCCCTGCTCACCTCTCCACCGGGCCACCACTCCCCAGCCCGGGGCTTCCTGGCTGCTCCTTGCCAGGAGTGATCTTTCTCTGCATCCGCAGGTGGCTTGTTCTCTCACTTCATTCTCACCTCCTCAGACAGGGATCCCCTGACCAACTTTCTAAAATAGTCCCCACTTTCTTCTCTGTCCCTTTCCTGCCGTAATTATATTCACAGATCTTATTCCTGACATTGCATTAGAAGTTTCCTTATTCAAATGTTTATTATCTGTCTCTTATGTTTAGAATTTCTGCTCCATGAAGCCAGGGACTTGTCCCTAGTGCCTGAAAGAGAGCCCGGCACAGAAGCTCGGTAACTGAATAAATGCCCCCCTCTGTTCCTGGCAGCCCATGTGGCTGTTGGGCCCATTCTCTGGGCTGCTCAGACCGTTGGCTCCCCCTGCCCAGGATAGCGCACGGCTCATCCTGCTCTCTGAGACCCCTGGACCAACAGGGCAGAAGGGACCCTAAATAGTCTCCCCCGACCCCTCCTTCCCAGTTTCTCCCCCTCTGGCCACCTCCTGCCCGCCCCTCCAGCATCAGGGCTTTCATCTTTCCAGCCACTTGGAAGGTGGTTGACAAACCCTCCCCACCAAGCTTATAACAATTTGAAGCGTTGTCCCTCCCAAGAGTATTCACATTTTAAAAGAGTCCAGGTGGGAGCAACACTCAACCCCAAGGTATGAGTGTGCTGTGATATAACTTCTGACACCAGGATTTTTGAGGGAGATATTGCCTTTCCCTCTCCCGGGCCCTGGCAGACAAGGCATCTCGAAGATAAGGGCATTGAGGGAGAGGGAGAGGTGGGTCCAAGCCCACCCATGGGTCAGAGACTGGGACCTGGCAGATCACAGCTGCCGGCTGTTCCACATGACCCGCCTCTTCCTTTCCTGCCACCCAGGGCTGGCTTTGCTCCCAATAGCATCCCCAAGCATTCTCCAGGCTCTGCTTTGCAAATCCCTCCAGAGACTTGCCAGGGAGCCCAGAACAAAGGCCTTACCCATTTCAATCCCGCAGATGACCAGGGCCGCAATCACGGCCCCTGCTGATGTCCCTGCAAAGCGATGGGCCGTTTCCAGCATCCTCGGGGCCAAGTCCCGCAGGGCGTCCACGGCCCCAGCCTGGTAGAAGGACAGGAATCCACTGCCCGAGAAGGAGATGGAATGAGGGGTGTTTGGGTCCCCTTTGAACACCTGTTCCTCCATCTCCTCAGCCTCTGGGCTCTGGCAGGAAAGGAGGAACCTCCCTTCAGCGCTTGCTGCCCAGCTGGGACCTGCCGCTCCCTGTTGGAACTCGCTGCCAGCTTCCCGACCAGCCTGAAGCCTGGAATGTGGCTGCAACCACAGGTGGCCTGTTAAGCTCCACCAGGAGGCAGCCCCCAAGGTTGGCGAGGTTCAGCAGGCCCGCCGGATGTGCAAGCAGGGTCTGGGTCCTGCGAGGCCCCCGCCCGGCCTCATTGCTTGGCCAGGATCTTCTGGCACACAGGCTTCCCAGCCTTCCTGCGCCCAGCCCTGCTGCACCCAGGAGTGCTCACAGCTGCCAGCGGGCCATGCCCACAGAGGCGGCACTGCTCAGCGCCCCGCCACCCGGAGGCTTCACACGGCCAGTTGCAACACCTCCTGATGGTTATCGGTAGGTGTCTCCCACTCTGACAGCTGCAGCAACAGAGGAATCACAGCCCGCCTCCCTCAAAGGCTGGGCCGCCCAGGATGGCCATGGTTTTGAAGGGGACACACACAGTCCACATCCCCCCCACAGCGACACCCCTCCCTGGCTCCTCCAGGCTGAGTGGTATATGTGATGTTTTACACAACTATTTTTATCTGTTCTTATCTAAGCCCCTTTGTTTATTCACTTGTTTCTTTATTTACATGTGAGGACTGGCCATGGGTAAAATTGTAAAGGAAGAGAATTTGACTTCAGGGCCCCACCCATCACCCACCAAGTCCTTTCCACCTCTCACCTCCCTACACTGACCCTTTGACCCTTGGTCAGCGCCCTCTCACCAAGCCCCAAACCCTCATACCATCTCCTAAGTGTCTGGGAAGAAATCAATCTGAACTCTAGATTATTCTGTGTCTGGGGCTTCATGTTATATGCTCTCTTCCCGCTTTGGAATGAGAAGTTTGAGATGGCAGTATTTAACCCTGAGGGTGAACAGCTTAGGGGGTCCCATGCGGGGCATTGGGGTCAGGGCAGAGAGATGTTTTGGTAAGAGAGGTGGTGCATGGGGACAGGGTAGCTCCAGGAGCCGCCCATCACACCCCTTGTGAGCTGCACAGTGAGGTCCTGGTGAGGAGGCGTCTTCCTCAGAGCCCCCAAGATCACTGCATGGAGATATCTCAAAGCATTAATGTGTCAAAGTCACCTCTCCCCCTCCCCCTATACAGTAGCAGGACCAGAATTAGAATCGAGATACAAAGTCCTCTCTCCAATGACCAATCCAGCTCCAGCCTCTGTTAGATGTGACATCTCACTGGTCCCAGAGCTCCCACCAACTCTGGTGGCTTTGATGATCCAAATGGGAATTCCACAATGAAGGCAATGCCCAGGATTCAGTTAGGAGGGAGTTTTCTGTCTTGAGTAGGAAGTTCCAGTCATGTAATTCTCTCAGTTTGGGAAGAGAGCTTTTGATTAGATGTATGTGTAACAGAGAAGGTGAGTGTGTGTGTGCATGTGTGTACACACACCTGCAGAGCTATGAGGCGTCCTGCTGGGGTGGAGGGTCGGGGTGTGCCAGTCAGCTTTGGGAATAGCAGAGCCTCAGTTTGGGAAGAGAGCTTTTGATTAGATGTATGTGTAACAGAGAAGGTGAGTGTGTGTGTGCATGTGTGTATACACACCTGCAGAGATATGAGGCGTCCTGCTGGGGTGGAGGGTCGGGGTGTGCCAGTCAGCTTTGGGAATAGCAGAGACCCTGCCTCCTTCCTGGGAAGTCAGCTCCACTGAGTATCTGAGTGCTCAGCCCTGTACTGGGCCCTGGGGAGGGGAACAGGTAGAAACTCTACACCTAACTCAGACATTCACAGGCTTCTTGGGAACAAGACAGGCAAATGGAAAATAGCCAGTGAACAGTACAAGTCTATAATTAAGTACTAAGTTATGCAGGGTTGAGATTCCTGCCAGAAAAGTTAAGAGCCTGAAAGGGTGAGCAGTGTGGGCCGGAACCACCAGAGAAGCTCTGCGGTGGAGTGATGGGCTGGGAGGGAGTTGGGGCAGCGACAGCATGAG